TGTATAACCAATGTGATCCTGCAGTCTGTACACGTGGAAAAATAAGAATTCATACCCCATTTGAATCAAATGTATGATATGTCAAAATCAATGTAATGTTTTGAGAAACCAATGAATTTCTGATTTTTTTAAAAAAGAAATAACCAGCTGCTACATGTAAAAGGGGTGAGAAATTACAAGATAATGTGAAATTTTGCAACTAAAACCCCTTAAAACTCAGAATTCTCTATCATCTATCTAAAAATTGTAAACCTGCTTCCAGGAGCCTCTGAATCACAGATGGTACTGGTTGTAAAATTTAGCGGGTATCCTAGCAGCTTTCTCTGTAGCCCAAGGCATATAGTACCTTTGTCTTGAAGTACTTAACTAAAATTCTTAAGCTGCGTATTCTTTCTTTTTACCTCTGTTTTTCTACATCCAACAGTGCTTTCCAGAATTTTTCTATGATCTGTTTTGGATTTTTTTTTTTTTTTTGTCTCTAGATAGACTAGATTTTATTTATTTTTTATCACTGTTGAAAAACATACCTATGTTTCTTCCCCTAATTTCAAAGCCCTTTAGCTAGTTTTTCAGTGGTTACACCAGTGTTTAAAATGTATGATTTATTAATGACATTTATGTTCAACACTAATTTGTGTTTTACCACTAAAGATGGTAATGAAAATGAAACACTCTGACACAAGGCAGAGAGATGAAAACGCAATGCTATCCAACTCCACTCCACCCAAATTCCCAGAATTTTTGTTTATCAGCATCAGTTTCAGAATCACTGGCTTTAAAAGTCCAAGGGAACATAGCAGTCATCTAGACCTCATGTTTGCATAAAAATTTCAAAATCTGCATTAGTTAGCTAAGTAATCAAGATGAGATTGTAAACCACATCTGTGGACTGAATTCTGAGCCATTTCTGCTAAAACACACCTGAATTTAATCATATGAATAAGTTCTTATAAAATATGGAAAGCAAATTGATAAGTAGGAAAGTTTATTTAATAAAGAATATCATACATTATTATTTTAATATTTATTTCTTTGTTTTTTATTTAGCTAAAATATTAATATGTTTACCTAAATTTTTAACTTCCAGATAGTCCTAATCTCTTTGTTTGACACTTTCTAGAATTTGGACAGTTTCAATTCTAAAGTCATATATACTGCTCATCTAGAGATCAATGAGATACTTTTGTTAAATGATTCAGTGGAAAATGTCTTCAGTAGATTTTCCAAGCACTAAAAGATTCTACAAAAAGTTGATTTGCATTTTATGTTCTTCAAAAATTAATCAATGACCACTTGCCCTAGAATATACCCAGTGTTTTAGCAAATATGTGCTATTCCTAAAATTCTAATGTTTCAATAGTTTTGGTAATGTGATAGGTTTTAAATTGGGTTGAACACACAACCATGCAAAGAAGATAAGCAGCTTTATTCCTTCTTTAAATGCAGAGGTGAGGAGGGATTTTAGTGCCATATTTTCTACACAGGAAAATAAATAGGAAAAAAACTCCAGGGATAAAGTGTTCTGAACTCCTAATGAAGAAGCATCTTATTGCTGGCATGACTTTTCTTTAGATGGTCATAAAAGAGCAGTATGAGATTCCAAGATTTTCATCTATCCTTCTGAATGTTCGTAATTCATTGATATAGCCTTTGAAATATTTCATCAAAAAAGTCTTCAAGTATCAGATTACTTGAAAGCATATAAAGAGTCACAAGTAGTGCTCTGAATGAAAGTTTCTAGCTATTTTTCTTCATTTCAGGGCTATTCATACTCTTCAACTTGCAGATCATTTTGTTTTAAAAAATGCAATATCACCTAAATATTTATTTTTCCATCTATTGAAGAATTGGTTGACAGTGTCTTATATTTATTTTCTACTTACTATTTTTAAATTGCATTCTAAAGGTTATTTCCAAGCAACTTTAAACTCTATTTATATTATTTTTTAAAAAATAGATCCAAAGTGAAGCTCTGATTTGAAAGCCATAGACCACTCATCATTAGAGTCGACACATACATAAATCACAAAGATAACACATAATCATCTCTACCAGAACTCCTTGCTGCTGGCTCAAAGGTCTTAAGTCAATGTTGATATCTGTGTTTTGGAAACTGTCAAGCACTGTAAGTGGTTTTTGCCTCTTGCTGCACCCATCCTAGGTTCAGTCTTGGCAGTAAATTCCCTCTGTATGAATGACAAATCGATGTTTTAATACTGTTTTGTTTAGTGTGCAGAGGGGGAGTAGAAAGGTAGATGGTGGTAGTGAAGTGAAAAGAAATGGAATTTGTTTTTAAATTTACCCCTAGAAGTGCCAGAAATGTCAACGCACAGCAAGAAAAAACAATATGTTAAATGTCTTCCCCAAATCCTGAAAGTTACAATATGACACCAACACCTGTATAGGTAAGGGTTTTCTTATTTCTCCTGCATGGACATTCTTCCTTTGCATTCTGGTATGGTATGAACATCCTCATCTTTCAGGTCTTAGGTAAAATGTCACTTCTTCAGCTTACTCTAGAGGAGAACAATAAATAAATAAAATAGAAAACCTACTTTTGTGGTTAAATTTCTCTCACATGACTCCAATTTATTTTATTTATAGCTTTCATGATAATCTAAAATTATCATGTTTACAAAATAGACTTATCTACTGTCAGAAATGAGGTCAGGTGCTTTTCTTTCTTTGTTTTTTTTCCATTGTACTCAACAAATTTTACAGTTATAATTTTGCATTTCATTTACATTTTACCATGGGAAAAGATAATATGTCTGTGTAAAACCTTCCTTATAAATTGAAATTTTGCTATGTGTATGTCAAGGTCATTCTCTCTGGGTTGAAAAGAAAAAATCCAAGCTTGGAACCAGTGAAGTTGAAATATGGTTCCTGTGCTTTCATGGTTTTCCAGGAACTGTGGGTTTCCAGACCTATCTATCTGCATCTTTGATCTCACTCTGAAAAGTATTTTCTTAATAGGAAATATATAACTGGATGTCAGACTTACCTTTGGTTCAGGTCCTACTCAAGACATTTCTGGCTGAAGTTGACATTCATTGACTTACCTATTTTCTTCCAGATTTCTTCAATCACTATAGGTTCTTTGAGTCTTACTTTGCTCCATGAATTAATAACCTTTCTACCTAGTTTCAATTTTTCATTATCATAATCCTCTATGTTTTCTGATTTCAGTAACTCAAAAGGGATTCCCACAGTACTAACTGTATGCTTTACTATAACGAGGATGCCAATCAATCCAGCTCCTTTGTTAAGTACTGGGTTCACATTTGGGCAGATATGTAACCAGAAAACATCCTTTGCTTAGAAATAAAGTAAGTGAATTCAACATATATATCATAAGCTAAGATAAAGAATATCAGCTGAAATTGTGACAAATTAATATCATGGTCATATTATGAACTTTATGCAATGCTACTAGGAATCCAAGCACTCACAAGCAAAATTTAACACATCTGTTCTTAGCTTGTGATGAGGAATGTGCGAATACTGGAAGTAAAGGAAACAAGTCAAACGAGATTCTAGCCACCTTCTAAAATATAGACCTCTCCTCCAGCTGGTGTGCAGACAGCATCGGAGCCGAGTCAAGCTGGTCAGGATGATCACAGACGTGCAGCTTGCCATCTTCGCCAACAAGGTGGGCATGTCTGTCTTCTTACTTGTGGTTCTCTATCACAAGGTGACCATCAACAACCCCCGGAAGCAGGAATGAAAGTGGCGCTTTCTCCACCCCAGGGTTTTAGGACACAATCTGAGGCAAGATAGAGAGTGTGAGTGGCCTTCACATTTCACTTCATCCCTTCTACCCATCACAACATACAAAGCAACCACACCTGGATTCTTCCAAACAACTTTTATTTCTTCAAAGTCTTCCTTAAGCATAAGGAACAAGAAGCTGCCACTGAATAGGGCCCAGTATAGGGGCTGCTTTTCTATTGCCTCTCCTATACCTAATACAATATATATATTGTGTGTATATATATACATATATATGTATATTTGTATAATATATATATTATACAAAATATAATACAATATATATATTATACAAAATATAATATATATATATGTGTAAAACAGGTGAAAGAGGATGCTTTATTTTATAGAAAAATAAAGACCAGGCATTTAGGGGGAAAAAATTTTGGCTGCATTGAAAATTTGAGGAAAATTTACAAAATAATTAATTTCCAAATTTATAAAACCTTCACAAATGCTAATCTCACTTTATATATTTTAGAGTTGGGATGAAATTTAGAAGAAAACAGAAGATGTGGGATTCATGGAATTCTAATGGTAAAATGCTTTTATGATTTTGTTCCCACTACTTGAAGAAGATCACAAGTGTTAAAATATCATGGCAGCTATTGATAAGGAGAAATGACGTTTGCATACCACACATTTTCTAATTTTACCTATTTTTAGATCAATCACTGTCATTGACTAACATAAGGAGGCACTAATGTCATAACTTGTCTGAGGTCAATTCCATCATGGATTGAAAGATCCCTGTTGTCTTTTCTTCTGCTTCTCTGAATCACTTTGATCAGAAAACCAAATCAAACTCCCCTTTACTTTGATCTTGGTCACATGCTTATTTCTAGAATTCTGAAGAAACCCATTTGAAATAGAATAATTATACAAATGTATAATCTGTGGTCTTTGATTCACTTTTCCCATGTTGTATTGTGATGTAGTTGCTGTCTTCTCATTTCTTTCCCTTGCAAAGGAAAAGTACAGCTATTAATTGAGAAAATTACTACTAAACTGTCCTTCCACATGGGCATTTGTGGCTTGATAACCTACAATGATGAAGTGGCATGTCCCATCAAGACAGTTAAGTATGGTTCTTGGTCATTTGTTTGGTCCACCAGAAACACCAGGCTGGGTTGCACATTTATCTTCCACCATAACTTTCATTGCTCTTTATGGAGATTTATAAAGCAAAGGTCTTGCTTCACTACTAGAAAGTGACTGTCCCAAAGTTCTCAACACTTATACAATACAAAAATGAATGGAATGGTGATTTCAAAATAAAAGCTCTGGATAAATGGACAAATGAACACACAGCAGTGGAAGTATGGAAATAATTAGATGAATCCTCATGCACTGAGGACATCACAGTCAAAGCAAGAATGAGAAGGCCTGTGAGCAGATGAAAAATACTTCAGAGGAAATACCACCAAAGTAGTCAGGGAGGTAACATATGGGACACAGGTCTTAACAGATGGATAGGCTATGGGTAAGTGTAATGTACAAGAGAGGATCCTCACCACAGTGATACTATAAAAAACAATGAGGTAAAGCAAATCAGCAGGTGAGATGCCCATCAGCAGCCCCGAAAAAGTAGAATGCAAAATGGTGGAGGAAAGGGAAATTAACACTGGAAAAGTAGATTAACAAAAGAAGAGAAAATTGTTACAAATCCAAAAAACTATAGAAGAAAACATCACAAGGAGATGTTTCAACCCAGAGAAAATCAAGTGTGTAAACACACAAAGACAAATGTCTTAAATTTACAAGAACCCAAAGGAATACCAATTAAAGTAGCAAGTTTTCTTTGTTATTGGTGTTGTTTTTTCTTTTTTCTTTTCTTTTTTT